AGTGAGCGCACATAACTCCCGGGAGTCCCAAAATGGGAGTAAGCACAGGGTCAAGGGGGACTGATTGTTTCACGGCCATACTGTCCTCTAGGTTTCTGTGCCTTGGGGAGAGCCAACAGCTGCAGGGGCCCCCTATACTGAACTGTCCCCACATTTTCCACAGGAGTTCGTCCTGGAAGATATCTCACTGCTGAGAGTGACGTGGGAAGCGAGGGAGGGTCTTCTACTACAATGCGGCTTTTGCCCTGGCCCATATGTAGCTTGCCTGTGTGCAGCAATGGTCCCCCTGCCCCTCACGGCACAGTGGCGCGGACAAGTTAGCCTTATTGGGACAAGGACCACAGTGGCTCTCCCAATAAACCTGCGGAAGTGCATTGCCCAAGTACTGGCTGAGACTTTGAAGAGGCCTATTACCGCGATGTGAGAGAGCACATAAACGCCCTATTCCACATCTAGCCATGCTTGCAGCCCTAACCCTCCTTGCCCCAAGAGCCTGCGCCAAATAACTTCCTTCCCAAAATAAAAGCTGCTTACCGGGAACCTCCTCTGGTGTTTGTCCTTCCCCAAGCACCAGCCGCCACGACTGGCTACCTTCCTCCTAGCTTGAGAACAGCTCCTGGTTGCATGCATCTAGGGATGCTGGGGTGTCTCCCTCCTCCTCAGCACCCTCGCTCCCGCTTTCCTCCTCCTGCCTTGTTGAACTGGGCTCTGAAGTGTCCATGGAGGTACTGAGAATGGAGGTGGGGTTGCCCCCAAGTATCACGTCCAGCTCTTTGTAGAAACGGCAGGTCGTGGGGGCAGCACCGGAGCGGCTGTTTGCCTCGTGGGCTTTGCAGTAGGCATTTCGCAGCTCCTCCACTTTAACCCTACACTGCAGAGCGTCCCGCTCATTGCCCCTTTCCAGCATGTCCCTTGATATCTGCCAGAAGGTATCGTAATTCCTATGGTTAGAGTGCAGCTGGGACTGGACAGCTTCCCCCCCCCCAAACACTGTTGAGGTCCAGCACCTCGCCATTGCTCCATACTGGGGATCGCCTGGCACGTGGAGGCATGGTCACCTGGAAAGATTTGCTGAGAGCACTCCATGCCTGGCTGAGCAGGAAGGGGATTTTCAAAATTCCCAAAGAATTTAAAGGGCGGGTCTGACGGTTGGTCACCTGAGGGCAGGGCAGTAGTGTTCAAAAGGATGACCAGAGTGGCTAGAACAGGCATTGTGGGACACTTCTGGAGGCCGATCAGAGCGCATTAACAGAACAGGGCATCCACACTGGTGCCGCGGTGCTCCAGCGGGGATGCATCAAACATTATTCCACTCACCGAGGTGGAGTACCAGGAGCGCTCTAGCCGTAGAGTCAGAGTGCTCTACATGCCTTGCCAGTGTGGACCCGTCATGAGATAGGGTGCCCGGGGCTGCTTTAATGCACTGTAACTTACAAGTATAGCCAAGCGCTAAGTAATGCAGAGGTCTGAGCAGTCATGATAGTGCATTGCATGCGACGAGTGCTGCAATATCCAAGTGACAGCAGGTGGATTGAAGGTGGTGCTTTGGCTTGAGAAGGAGATACAGAGCCTTTTAGTGTACCTCTAGAACATTGATTCAAACACAGCCTACATCAGTACCTGGAAAGGTAACTCACTACCATTCAATGGCTATTGGGTGGCTTATATGAATTGAGCTTGGTGATCTAAGGGTAGTTGCCAGTGTGTGTGTGTGTGTGTTTCATCCTCATAAAAACCACCACCAGAGCACTCCAGTAAAGATCAAGGCCCCATTGTGCTAGGCACTGTAGAGTTGATTCCTGAAGGTGTGTAGTTGAAGTACACTGGCAAGGCAGCATGGGGGGTGAGGGGGGCTGCACTTTTCCTGCCAGTAAGGCCCCTTGTATATGGCAAAATGGAGGATTTCAGTCTCGCGCTGTCAGGCTAGTATCTTTCACAAGCACAAAGAGGAGATTCCCTTGGGTTAACCAGTGAAGTTTCACCTTTCCTGTGAAGTTCTGTGCTCCTGTTTTTTTTTCTTTGGGCCACAACCCCCAATGGGAAGAAGGCCAGCTTCTGGAACAGCAGCACCTAACTCCTGCAGTGCTGAGGAATCCTTTTCCCAGCCAAGTGCTAGTTGTGGTATATGGAGCTACATAATTAGTTTGAAGTTTCCTGGGGCCGTGTCTGCACTGACAAGCTTACAGCGGCACAGCTGTTCCGATACAACTGTGCCGCTGTAAGATTGCTCGTGTAGCCGCCTTAGGCCGACGGCAGGGGGCTCTCCCAGTGACATAATAAAACCAGCTCAGTGAGCGGCGGTAGCTATGTTGGCAGGAGAGCATAGAGCACACGAGCGCTTATGTCGGCAAAACTTATGTCGTGGGGGGGGGGGCATTTTTTCACACCCCTGAGCGACAAAAGTTTTGCCGACATAAGTGCTAGTGTAGACTTGGCCTAGGAGTCTGCTGGAAGCAGCTGCAATTTCGTGTTCAGTCCAGATACAGCTTACTGTGCTCTCATGGTAACTACGTTTGTTTGATGCTAAAATGAAATGAGTGTTTTAAACGGACAGCGTGTGGCTGCTGAGTGTCTCTGGAAAGCACGTACTTCCCTGGTGAAATCTGACAGGATCAGACTGTGAAGTAACTCAGATGCAAGAATTATAGTGTTTTATTCTTCTTAAACACTTACTCCTCAGAAGGCCTTCAAATACTAATAACTACCCTGTATTTTCTCCAAGTGCCTTTTCAGGTAGTTCAGTAAAATTGTTTATCTGGTGCTTGATTTGAGTTTTCACTAGGAGTACAAGGGAGAAGCCGTGTGGTTTGTTGTCTGTAGGGAAACGGTAAGAAGACATGGACGCAGAGCACACAGTATAATAAAGAGGGAGTAAGAGAGCATAGAGCATAGTGTGTGAACATTCAGTAGCTGTTACTGTGTCTGTGTCAATGCCGGTTGTGTGCTTGGCACTATACAAGCCACAAAAGCAAAGCCAGTCTCTTCCCTGAAGAGCTTACAGTTGAGAAGCCAAGACACACTTTGAGACAGTTGTCTGCCTATGAGAGCTTCCCCTCCTTCCAGATCAGTTTTTTAATTTACCGCTATCAGGTGAGCTGCTGCGCTGGGCTTCTAAGAGGTGTAGTACCGGAGGGGAGCAGGCTCTGGGGGCTTTAAGGCACCTTTGCACTCTCCCAACAACAAGCTGCTCCAGGGGTCAGAGTGGCCCTTACATGATTTAAACAGCCCAGCCTAAGGCTTGTTTACACAGGGAAAATGGCCAGCAGAAATAAAGCTATACCGAGAGTCACTTTTGTTCCAGAATAGAGAATCTACATGGAGAGTTACACTGGCATAGATATAGACCTAGAATTATGTTGCTATTGTTCTGCCAGTCAATTCCCTCATGTAGATAGGCCGACAGGGACAGGCTGCTGTAACCCTATGTCAGCAGCTCTGTATGATATGGCCCCATGCCTGAAACATCCTTTCAGCTGCACACCCCTTCAGCCATGCCCCTTACAGCAGGGCTTGGAAAGGGGCCCTCAAAAGGACAACCTGAGGCTGTCAGTCTCAGTTCTTGCTCTAAGGGAATTCGCTCCCAGCTGTTCCCTACAGCTGTAAAGCCCCTTCCACCCTTTTACCTGGTGTTAAGAGGCTGGAGTGCGGAGTGAGAATCTGACCCATTGTGTTCAGATGGCTGGGTAAGGAGATTGAGAAAGAGCCACAGTGACAAGTGGAAGCTAAAATGATTCAGTTCGTATCTGAGGTCTCAGTGATCTCTTCCGTTTATTGGAATCTTGCATTTACAAGCAACAATGGGAAAATCAGCCTGTTTACAGTAACTGCAGTTTCAAACTGTTCTTAAGACCAAATCCTTCACATGATCATGTGTTTGTTTGTAACATAAAGCTACAGCCTTGCCTAGAACACAGGTTCACTATTCATTTCAGAGCAAGTCTAGTATATGGCACTCTTACTCATAGCAACAATCATTTATTCCAAATCAAAACTGGGCCATTTATGTACTTTCACAGCATAGCACATACTATGCCTTACATTGTACAGTGTGGCTGAAAATTCTGGCATGTCTCACTAGGAAGGATTTCTGTTAGGGGGGATTTCCCATCAATGATCTTGTGGCTAGAGCATAGCCCTGGGAGTCAGGTGGCTTCAGTTCTATTCCTACCCTGCCACGGGTTTCTTGTCACATTATTTAACCTGACCCCAGTTTCACCTTCTGTAAAAGGAGGCGGATAATACTGCTTTACTTCCCAGTAATCTTCTGAGGCTTAAGTCATTCATGTCTGTAAAATGCGTTGAGGTGATGAGAAGAAAAGTGCAAGCTTCTTTTTGGTTTTGCCTCATGTGTATGTTCCTCTTTGAAACTTGCTGATTCCAGCTGCCTAATATTCTTGGGTTGGGGTTTCCCCCCCGTTTTCTATTGATAGCATAATAATCTAGTACAAGCTAACAAACACACTAAGGTTTTTCATCTTAATCAATGTGGTTTTGGTTTGGTTTAAATTTCCAAGTTTAACAAAAGGTTCCATGTTGTTTGTATGTGCCCTCGCTACAGGAGTGGCTCCACAGGGCCACTCTTCAGTGTAAGAGTCAACGGAATCAAACAGAGACTTTCACTACATAGCTGGGGCCTGATCCTGAAATGTGCCCAGCAGTACCTGACAACTGCTGAGTACTTCAACTCCCACTGAAAACAGCAGACGTTAAGGTCCTCTAGTCTAGACTATCACCCTGCCTTTTCTACAGTACATTTTTAGTGTTTTGTCTAGTCTAATTTTAAAACACCCAATAGACAGGTCTCCTAGCACTCCTCTTATCAGACTAGTCCACCGTCTAATAGATTTCAGCATCAGGACATTTTGAGATGGATTAGAGCTCTGGTGAGCACGCATCTGTTCCTAGCATTTAAAACTCATCACAGTGCTCATTCCTGCTTGATTTTCTCAGGTTTTAAATTAACCCAAGGACAAGCGATTATCATTTATAGTCTTGTTTCAATAAAAATGAAGCATGTCTAAATACATGTCAAAAATGATACACAACAGGATACGCACAAATCCACACATACGTTCTAAAAACATAACACACAACCTAATCCTGATCACGCTTCAGTGGCCCAGCATGGTGCTCACAAAGGACACTGCTAAAACCAATTGCCAATGAGTTGTTTAAATTCTTGTGCTTAATTTCTTCTGTTCAGCCATTCTCCTTCCATTCTGCTCTGTTTCAGATCAATAAACATGTGCTATAAGTTGTAAGAGAAGTGGAACTGAGGTCATTCAAATATATCCCCTCGGGGACTGTTACTCTGCACTGAGTGCATCTGAGTTTAGAGGAATACAATAAAGACTGACCCCAGCAATATCTTCTTCATCAGGTCAAAACCCATATCCAGAACGCATAGAGTAAGACGTTTAACATGAACAAAATAATAAATGTCCCCCAAGTAATACCTGTAGTGAGAGCTGAGTTTACTGGTGCAGCAGATTAGGAAAAACTGGCAAGGCAAGGTCAAGAACATTGCTGTCCACAAATGCAGCTTTGCTAAGGGGGGTTTCTGATGTGATTTCATGCTGCAGTAGAACTATGGGATATTTTGGAATATTACACATGCCATATGGAGTTCCATTAATCATACCAGGAGCAGAGGGGGTATTTCTGAGATGAACAGAGTACTGAGGGATTACTAGTGGAAGAAGTTACCTGATTTTCCAGTTTCATGCTCAAGTTGCCCCCTCCAGTCACGTCTGAGATTAAAGACATCCTCATCACTGGAGTGGCGCATAGACACATTCACTGGAATTCTTATCCCGGCTCTTAAGAAGTCCTGCCAGGGCCATTAAGGCTTCCCTCAGCCCCTCGCCAGTGTGAGCACTGCACCCTCTCAGCTCCCAGCTTCGGCCACTGAACCATTCGAGATTCAGCATCTCCCGCAGCTCTGAGAGAGACAGGGACCTTGGCAGCTCCTGCTTGTTGGCCAGAAGCAAGACTGGAACCCCTGTCATGTTTACGTTGTTCAGAACTTTCTCCAGTTCAGCCATTGCCTCTGGCAGCCGGGTTTTGTCGGCACTGTCCAGCACAAAGATGAGAGTGTCCGTGTCTTCCAGATAGTCCTTCCAGCTAGTGCGGAGTTTGGCTTGACCACCCACATCCCAGAGAGTCACGGGTAGATGACACGGGGTTTTCAGAGACTCCACATTGAAGCCCACTGTCGGGAAAGTCTCCACAACCTCGTTGCTCTTCAATTTAGACAAGATGGTGGATTTGCCAGCAAAATCCAGTCCCAGCATCACCACCCGGGCGTCTCTTTTGTACCAAGCCTTGGAGCTCAAGGTCCCCATTGTGCTGCTGCTGAAATCTTGTTGAAAAATTGTAAATAAAAAATTATTCCTTTCCAAAGAGAAACATTCTTACTGCATCTAATAATGGCACTGTCTGGTAGAGTGACTAAACTTTTGAAAGGGGTGGGGTCCAGCTGGCCCCTAGCCCCTCTGTCTGAGAGAATACTTTGGATTCACGTGTAATATTTGCTGCAGAAAGAAACAATCAGCTTCCCTGCTTTCCTTTGTAGCTAAAACAAGGTGAGTGATATTATTTATGAGGGGTGCAGCAGAGCTTGAAATAACAAATGGCCTCTGTGTTCCTGCTTTGCTGTCTCTAAATTCCATGTTCAGCTGCAACCCAAAACTGCCAAGGGTTAGGGGAAAACAGACCTTTTAAGGAGAGGTGACAGGATTGTGTAATCAGTTTCCTCCTCATGTTGCACAGAAACAAAACTGATGTTTTGTCCACCAGCCTCTCCAGGGGAAATCCACCCCCATCACAGGGCAGAGGGAACTGAATTGTTGCACTTGTGACAATCAGAGGCTGGTAGGTCACCACTTTCGAGAACAGCAGCCAACGCAGTGAAAAGGCTTCTGAGCCACTCTTAAGTTAAGGGAAGAAAAATAATCTTCCCCGTAGTAGCGGCTTTCACCAGCTGCTGTGCAGACAATAGAAATGGAGATTTAAAGAAATATTTAAATGATATTTTAAATGTCTCATTGAAATGCAGCCAGCAAAAACCAAGAGGTGGAAGGACTAAAGTGCTTTAGAGTGAATCCCAAATGAATGAAACATGGGTCAGTCTTCTATGGCAATAGCAAATACTACTTTATCACAAAAACAGTACATTGTGTAGCTAGACAGACACAACCTGAGAGTGATACATACCAATAGAGCGGTAGGATGAATAGGAGGAGATTTTTGTGGTACTTGAATATCTTGCAGAGTCACTCAGACAAGAGCTGCTCTTTTCAGCCTGGTGGTTGTGCAGTACGCCAGCAAAATAGATCCTTAAACTGTGGCGGGACCTGCACACTAACAGTCTGGTCAGATACACACAGGACAACGCAAGCCAGGCAGAGAGATTGTAAATCTCTGGTTATTGTGTCAGCAGAGAGCTTGTGTCTCTAACCACTTGACCTAAACACAGAGAAAGAGACAAGCAGGAATTTCATTTTCTTTTCTATAACCCCCCGAGCATCTTCCACGTTCCTGTGAAAGCTGCAGATATCATCTGATGTTACCCGAGTGAAGGATCCACAATACAAACCACCATTTTTCTGCGCAGCCAGGCTGGATGATTTTCATTATAGCCTGTGGAAGTGACTCCTTGATCAGCTGTAGAAGTCACTGGTGAACAATGGTAGGCACTTGCCCCCATCGGGGCTGCTTGTGTTGTCTTTGCAGCACTCATGGCCGCTGGTGGTCTGGTGATTAAGGCACCGATCCTCAAAAGTACTTAAGTCTTGCTTCACTCAGCGTTGTAACCTCTAAGCAGTCTGCTGCCCAGTGGAGTCCTCCGCCTCGAACCAGGTGCCCAGGCACGCCATACAATGCATGGGGAGAGTTAGATGCCTAAGAAAGGGATCCTCAGAAACTGACTAGCTGAATGGGGAGCTGCCTAAGCTCACCAGAACTGAAATGGAGAGGAGAATGGCTTAGGCACCTATGCAGCTGTTTTGGCATGTCTGGCTGATGAGTCTCCCTCTGCTCAGGATCCTCAGCCACGAGCCCTCTCCTGGAACTAGGCACCTAAGCCAGGTCAGTCACTTAGGTAACCCATGTCCTAGCAGTCAAAACAGGCTCTGTCTCTCTCACGTGTGATAGCTCTCTCACACTTGCCCTATGTTTCTGTGTGCCCACAACTGTCTTTTGTATGCTGTCTTTTGTGCTATGCCTCCCCTAATGGTGGCCTGCACCCAGCCCTCCTGCTGCAGGGTCTGACAACTATCAGGTCTTATGTTACTCCTGGGGGAATTCTGTGTCACTGAGCACGTGCAGAATTAATGGACCCTCCAGACCTTTTTCCTCTGCAGAAAATACATTCTGCTGGAGAGGCGCTGCAGTTACGCCTTTCACCCACCAGGGGATGCTGTGGCACCAGAACAGAGGGCAGCTGAACAGCTCACTGTAGCAGCCAGCAGAGAGTCTGTGTTCCTCACAACATCCTGTCCACAGGGCCAGGTGAGGAAGCACGGCATATGGTGGGGGACAGACTGTGGGGGGCATGGGGCTGCTGCGAGGGATCACATAGACTGGAGTTCAGAAGGGCTAGTGGGGGGACAGACTGGGGTGGGAGCTGAATGGGAGTGGGGGTGCAGGGACACTGTGGAGCAGGGGGATGCATGGCCACATGGTGATAGGGGATGGCTGAGGGGGTGCAGGGACACAAGGGGATGGGGAGGGATGCATTTGGATAGGGGAGGGAGTGCAGGGACACCGGGGGGAGGAGGGTGGCTGAGTGGGGGTGCAGGGACACATAGGGATAGAGGCAGATGTGCCTGACTGAATGGAAAAGGCTAGGGATCAGTCAGGGTCTGCATGGGGGAGGTTTCCCTACTCCCTAGCAATTCCTCCCGTCCCCCCCCCCCAAAAAACAACAACAACAAAACCCTGTTCCATACTTCTCTCACCCACACCCAATAACCCTCCAGGTTCACTCCCAGGCTCCTTCCCTGCACTTACTTCCCTCTCCCTCAGCTCTTCCATTACCCCTGACTCCCCCAAGCCTTTGCACTGCTTCTGAGGGGTGTGGGAAATACGTTTCTATATTGCAGTTTAAATTAATTATTACTCAGAGTTCTGTATTAACATGCCTAGTAAAGAATCTATTTGTCAAAAACATTTCCTGGATCTTTTTTGTTGTCTGTATTGTTACAGACATACTTGCTGATAGGTATTTTGAAACAAATTACCAAAATAATTGAAACTGGCATGGTTATATTGTGTTATTTCTGACAAATAAAATATGCAGAATTTTAAAATATTGTGCGTGGAATTTTTAATTTTTTGGTGCAGAATTTCCCCAGGAGTATTACATGTGCCCAGAGCACACCTACCAGTTCGGCACTGGTGAGATTGGCTTTCCCCTGCTTAGTGTGAGAATCCTACTGTGGGGCCTCTGGGACGTCAGCTTGAGCGAGGGTTCCAATGTGCTCATTAGCTGTGTGGAGTGGTGTCAGGGCTTAAGTGGCTTTGCAAATGCTGAGTGGCAGAAATGTAGGCACCTTAGGGATTTAAGCAGCTATAGGATTAGCTAGCAGTCAAGTAATGGGTTTGAAAATGTCGGTGGCACCTAAAGAGGTAGATAGGCCCAGAGCCTAAAAGGCACCTAAGAGAGTAGAGGCTAGGAATGAAACCCAGATTTGATGCAAAGTACTGCAGAGGACTATAAGGCCAATCAATAAATATTTTGTTAAATGCTAATGGATCTGGGGATACAGCTCTTGGTACTTACGTGCTCCTATCCTCTTCATTCCTGCACATCTTCTGTGTGGTTTGATGGTATATATGGTACAAGTTCATTCTATCTAGCTAGGTTTATGTAGCATTTTATAAGTTCCTCTAAGGAAGCTGATATACACATACAGTAAGTGAGGGTGCGGTTTCTACAAATGCATGAATAACTGAGTATTGCAAATATGATGCAATGGGTCTCTATTGCATCATCATCTGGTATGCTATGGAAATAGGTATCATCTGAAATATGGGGGGAAATAAATCCAGAATAGCCTATACAGATGTGGGGAAGACACTATACAAAATGATATTGTATCAGAATCTGCTTCATTATATATCGTCTCTCCCAGCAGCAAAATGCAGAGCATAGGGTTTAAACAGTACAGCGATGGGCCTTTGCCACAAAGTTCAGATCTGGAGCCAAACACTCCCCAAGTTCAGGGAGTGGCGACATGGATCAGGTGTCACCTCTTGTAGAGCCAGATGCCAGCTGTGGAAGTTTTGAACTGGATCCAGACTTCCTAAGGTATGGGGATATTAGTATCTTAGAACGGGGTGTGGTCTGAGAGAAGCTTTCCAGGCTGAACACACAGACAGTATTGTGAACATCATATCCCCAAGAAGTATGATGAGCAAGAGGAGTAATCAATAGAAAGCAACCAGGTGGAGGGCCTGGCTCTAAATTGCTTGCCCCAATAACATGCTCTCAGATGCCATTTCAACTGAATCATGGTATTTTTACTCTCTAAAATTCAGAGTGTATTCCCATTTTTAGGCAGTTTCCAGAAGATAATGGGAAGAAAGTGTCAAAACAAATTTCAAAGTTTCGACTACCTACCCTATCTAATGATATGCTCCCTCCCACCCACACATACACAACTGTAGTATCTGACCAAATGTGGGAGTGTTCATGAAACCCATGTCTTACATTTGCATGTGCAGCAGCTATTCATGAATTTAGCATTTCATCCAATCATGGCACAGAAACATTACCCCGGGACGTGTTTGGTGAGTCACCCCAACCAAGCAGCACAGCTCAAATTTTAAATCCGTCCTATTGAACATTCACAGCAAATTGTTCATAATAAAGCCATAAACTAGGAAATCGCACCCCCTAGAAACATCATTGAATAAAGTGGAGTAAATCTCTCTTTGCTGGCAGGTATCCTGCGAGAACACTGGATAATTAATGCAACTCTGCAGCTCCCCTGTCTGCACTTTCTTAGCTCTTTGTCCCTGGGCTGTTGCCTGTTTTATCCTTGCCACTCACGCCAACCACCTGTGCACAAACCAACCCTGCACAGTCTATTCCATCCCCATCCTTTGCCTTTTTCATATCCTTTGTAAGGATCCAGAGGCCTGGAACATGAGTCTGCAGGGCTCCAGGTGACTAACGCTTCCATGCCACCATCTGGCAGCCATGGTAGACCCACAATTCATGCACTATCAGCCCTGGGGGGAACTAAGCACCACAGGAAGTGCCACCCATGGAAGACCCAATCAGCAGGCCCACTATTTAAGCATGGAAGGTGTTCCAGGAAGCTGTCTGTGTAACCTAGTCCCATACAACAGTCCCTGCTTTTGTTCCCTGCTTCGGACTCCAGATATATTCTTCGGGTCTGATTTCTGGCTTGCCTTCTGACTCTGGCCCTTGGCCTGATTCCTGATCCCTGACTAGACTCCTGCTGTCTGACCCCTGTCTCTGACTCCTGATCCTACCCACTAGGTCGGAGTGCCCACATCCCAGGCATGACACCTTTCTCCCATGGACTGCCACACAGAGTCTGTTGTGTGATCCTGCCCCCACCAGTGTTCAGAGTGAATGCACTACTCTTGTAAGTTTCAGAGTAGCAGCCCTGTTAGTCTGTATCCGCAAAAAGAACAGGAGGACTTGTGGCACCTTAGAGACTAACCAATTTATCTGAGCATAAGCTTCTGTGAGCTGCAGCTCACTGCATCGGATGCGTGCAAGTCCGGCGGGTCACAGAACTCCCACTCCACAATAAGGCAACTTTTTTCTTTTTTTAAACAACTATTTTCAAGGAACAAAGCCAAGGGAGAGCAGTCTGTGGAGAGGGTTTGGGTTTTTTTTGTTTGTTTGGTTTTTTTTGTTGTTGTTTTCAAAGGGGGAGGAAGAGAAAGCTCCTGCTTCTAGAGCAGTCAGTGTTCCTGCACGAGCCTGCAGATCCCGTTGCCGCATAGAAGGGTCGAATGAGCTCATTGCGATGTCTGGTCAAGGTCCTTTGGTTGACTTCCAATTGTCCATGATGGAAGGGCTAGTTGGGTGGAGGGAGAACCCACCCTGGGAAATGGAGCTGGTGGGAGGAGGGGCAAATACAATCAAGTCTTTCTGTATCAGTTGGGTTTTTGTTTTTAAAACGCATCCTTGTATCCAGAATGGGTGAAGTCAGCTGGGTCAGGAACGTCAGCGGTTCCGCAGGCCGACTTGACAGGGAGCCTAGTAGCTTTCCAAGCAGGCTGCGTAGCTGACCCGAAGGGGTACATGTCGGGGGGGGGGGGGGCTG